CGACGGAATAGCCGCTGATAATTTACTGGAGGATAATCTGCCGAACTATTCGTCGTTATTTATAAAACCAACAGTTTATTCCGGTGTATTGTCCGTCGAAAATTAACGGCAGAGTATCTGGCGCATATTTTGTTTGCTTACTTAAACTCGTGAATATTTTTCGGTGGATAGTTCGACGGTAACCGTTCTAGCGGCAAATACACAAGAAAAATCCAACAGAGAAGGCCCTATTTCCCTTTTGGCGTCGTCTTCCTTCTTATTTTCTTTCCTCCTCATTTCGGTTCGCTCCGCTCACATCAGTCGCCTTAGTTTAAAGCCGCCGTCGTCGAGGCCTGTCAGTCGCCCGATGTTTGCCACCTACTTTGCCGATGTTCACCGCTTCATTTGCCGGAAACCCGTTGTAAGTTTTTTTCCTTTTATCATGGATGTTCTCGATATAAATTTGCAAGAGATTTTACCATAGTGTATGCATTTTGTTGATTATATTCTTCTTGTTGATGAGTCTAGAAATGGAGTTGATGTGTATATTAGTAGTAGAATTCAAATGAGATGGTTAAAGCAAAGGATTGAATTGAGATAAATCCTAAAAAAGAGAACAAGTGGTGAGACTTGTAATCTGTGATAGAAAATTCACCTCATACTTACGATATAAATTCTATAAGATGAGGTGAGACTTGCAATGCTTTATGATATAAAATGTAGGTCATTAAAAGAGAAACATAACATTAAGTTAAGATTTGAGACATGATACAAAATGAGCATATACGTGAAAATATTGCAGTAGCTCCTATGAAAAGATTAGATTAGAGAGAGAAATAGTTGCCTTAGATGGTTTTGTCATGTAATTAAACTACATTTTCATACTTATCTCCAGCACAAACTGTTTTTTCACATAGGTACTCCCCTGAAAACTTATACACACATTTCTTGGCGTGTTAGGATTGAAGGTCACGACCGCGGTGTCACCCGACATTGACCGTACAAATCTTTCTTGATGTGGCGGGCATGGTTTCGCTTAAATAGGAGAGACACTAGGATGCTTCTAGATTTTTCATTGACATGGTACCCATGTTAAATAACATCATATGATTTACAAATAAAATTGAAATTCATGTATTTTTTTTTCAAAAGATTTTCCAAAAATATCTAATATCTATATATCATATATATGTATGTTATATTATAGATATTACAAATCAAAGATGTTCGATGTATAACCGATTGACACAATGATGAAAGACATTAATAAATGAGTTTATTAATAGGGTGAGATTTTTCATTCAGATAATGAAAAAAATTGTCCAACTTCATCTCAGATGGAAAGTGCACTTAACAGTAGATGATGCAATTATTGATATATATCGGAGAGGGTTCATGCCATAATATTGGTATTGTACTTCTCATAGTGAGTATGAGTCACATTTTGATTCTCGATGTGACCCATCTACAAGTTCTAATATAGCTGAGAAAGAAAATATCCGACCAGATCTTGAGGACTTAGTTTATGATGCAACTAGAGTATAATTTGAACGATATACTAAAGAGTTACAAAATAACGAGGCACAGAATTTTTATGATTTATTGTATGCTACCCAACAACCAATATGAAAAGGGTGCACCACTCATTCAGAGTTTTGCATTGTTGTGAATATATTAAGCATGAAGGTAAAATATAATGTCTCCCGTGGATACTTTAATCAATTCGTTTGTCTGCTTACGAAAACCAACTCGGCAGATAATATAATTTATGTAGATTTATATCAGACAAAGAAGTTGATTTCTAAACTTGATTTGATATACACGAAGATTGATTGTTATGTCAATGAATGTATGCTATACTATAAAGATGATTTATCAGAGATTGCATGCCGTTACTGTAATGCATCAAGATTTAAATCAAAACCTGTGACAAAACAAAGCTGAAGGAAAACCAGTCAGCATCATATTTTGCTTACTCATAATTTCTAGACTATAATGATTATATGTATCCATGAGATCTATTATACATATGAGATGTTATAATGAACACATATCGCAAGAAGTTGTTATTACACATCTGTTAGAATCAAGAAATATAAGATTAGATTTATGCATAGATAATTTTATTCAATTTAGAGAGTCTGCTTCACCTTACTCATGCTGGCCCGTGAGATTCACCCCATACAATCTTCCCCCAGAATTGTGTATAACTACTCCTTATATATATTTTTATGTTTATCATTCTAGGGCCACATAATCTAAAAGCAAAGATCGATGTATTCTTATAATTGTTAATTGATGATTTAAATTCATTATGAAAAGATGGAGTAAGTACATAAGATATCTCCACCGAACAAAACTTTATAATAAAGGCATCATTATTTTGGATAATTAGTAACTTTCTTACATACTATATGCTATTAGGTTGGAACACTTCCAACAAGTTAGCTTGTCTATATTATATAGAATATATAAAGCCATTCACTTTAAAGTATGGAGAGAAGAACACTTAGTTCGATTGTCACAGTATGTTCTTACTTACAGGTCCTCCTTTTAGGCGAAATACAAATACTTTTATTAAAATTGAAATGGTGATGTCGCAGCCTTCTCCTAGATTAACTAGTGAAGAAATATTTTAAAGTGTAAAGTTCATGTTCATAATAGTGGATTCTCCAATATTAGTTGATTATAAATTATCAGGGTATGATGCTAACCACAATTAGACCAAGAAAATTATTTTTTAGTCATTTTCATATTGGAGGAAAAACCTGATCAAATATAACTTGGACGTGATGTATATATAGAAAAATATTTTTGATAATATATTCAATACAGTCATGGACATCAAAGATAAATCCAAAGACAATATAAAAATAATGATGTACTTAAAAGAGATTTGTAGGAGCAATGTTTTAGAGTTAAAAGATGATATAAATAAAAAATTTCTCAAACCAAAAGCTCCTTTCACCTTTGCTCTAGAGCAGGGACGACCAGTTTGTGAATAGTTGAAGACCCTACAGGTACTTGATGGATATTCTTCCAATTTAATAAATGTATTGACATAAGATCTGAAAGATTGTTTGGATTGAAAAATCATGACTATTATATCTTTATGCAATGTCTACTATCAAATGCCTTTAATTTTCTACCAGATCAAATTTTAAAGTCCTTGATTGAACTAAGTATCTTCTTTAAATATTTATGCTCTTCAAAACTAAATACAGATCGAGCATTTGATTCTTATAGAGCAGCATATCCTTTTCATTATGTGTAAACTTGAGAAGATATTTCCTCCAGCTTTTTTACTCTATGGAGCATCTATCCGCATATTTATCATATGAGGCTATAGTAGATGTACATGTTCGATATCTATGAATGTATCTTTTTGAAAGATATTTAAATAACTTTAAAAAGACTGTTAAGAATAAAGCACATTCCGAAGGCTTAATTTGTGAAACATATTTAATGTATGATACAACTTAGTTTTGCTTGTGTTTCTTTGACACAACGTCACAATCAAGTAGGAGTACTATAACTCAAAATATGGGTCATGCAGATTCATGTAAATCCTCAAATTTATCTGTATTCAATGGAAGTGGCGAACTCGTAGGAGCTAGTATTGTGTGATATTTGATTGATAAGGAGATGAAAACTGCCAAATTGTACGTATTGCTTAATGTGATGAAGTTTAGCCATATCTCGAGTAAGTATGACTGAGCTTGTTAATACATTTGTTACTAAAAAATTCTAAACCCTAAATTTTGCAGGAGTTTCATTAACGGTTTAAGTACGTCAGTATAATAGAAGTTCAAAAGATAGTGAAAAAAAAATTCCTTAATTGATTTAAAAATATGATATATATTTCGACTATTCATTTATACTAATTTGTCTTAATTAGTTAACAATGTTGTCAATAAACATGCTAATATATACTGGATCTATCAATTATGTGCACACTCAAGGTAATGATTAGTTATATACCTTTTTAGGATTAGGTTGCATGCGAGATGCGTGTTGATAATCTTAGGTGTCACCAGTGTACCCGTCCCTCACTAGTTCATGGAAGTTCAAAAATTTTCTAGGCCCTTAGATTTGGTGCATATCTTAATTATTCGTGGTGTGACGTTAGTTACGCATAAAAATTCAAATTTTTTTAATTTTTTATAAATTATTATGATTTATAATTTCCATCTTATATGAGATATTTATTTTAGAATGCTCCTCTCTCTTTAGGAGCAATATTGTTTATTTTTTACCAAATATAAGTCAAGAGGCAAAAATCCTAAAAATTTTTTTTATTCAATTTGTTCTTTTAAATCTCTAAATCAGAACTACTATAGGAAAACAACATTGCATTATTTCTATTTTCTTTTGGTGCCCTTCCCCTCTTGGAGTCATGGGCGGTTTTAGGGGGGTGGGGATATTTAAATTTAAATCAATTAGCTTAAAATATACTTATTATAAAATTTTTATATATTTTCAATATAATTTTATAATAATAAGTTACAATTTTTTATATATTTATTGCTCGATGTAAAATATTTTTTAGTTATATTTTTATTTAAATTCTCTATGAAAATATATGGTGAAAGAGTAGTTAAAATAGATTAGTATGATAATATATAGTTTAAAAAATTTGTGCTGAAATTAAATTAGATGAGCATGACAATAAATTTTTTTTCATTATGATAAAATTTTTCTTCTTATAATTAAAAAAATAATAAAAAAAATAAAACTATAATGTCAATTTCAAGTTTAAATGAAAAAGCTTGAGAATATTTTTAAAGTCAAAATTTTGTATACCTGCAAATAAAAAATCCCTGCTTCCCCTACCATGGAAGATATTATCATATTAGTCATGCCAATGGTAGCTTGGTGCCACTAGCCAGCTAGTGTTGGAATACAGGATAAGGGAGGTCATAAAGGGAGGGGAGGACGCCATTACAAATAAATTTTGGTGTGGCGTGTAGTGCTTTTATTACTATTCATTTGAGATTGACTTCAATCATAATATCCGCTATTCCATATGGCATAAATCAGACTTACAAGCACGCACGCCAGAGCATAGAAATTGCTTCCATTCGTTTTCTCCTTGCTGCATGCAGCGATAGAGTTTTTGACCTTGTCAATAAGGCTTAGAGTAGAAAAAGAGATAAAGAAACAACAAATCCAGCCGATGATGAGTTGGTTGTAAGAAGTGTAATTGGAACTCTACATATAAGTTTAATGACAGATTTCTTGTGCTGGTATTAAACTAATTATGTATTTATTCATTTTTATATTACGCTCTATAGGAGAAATTGGTGACATTTTCAAGGATGTTCAAAGCGATAGTTTTTAGAGGGAAGCCATGGAGAAGAAAGAGTTTGGCTTTGAAGGCGAGGAAAAGGCTTTAACTATTATAAAGTTATACTTTCTTTGCAAACCTCTTCCCTCAATATTGAGTGAATCATGTCTCTTCTGCAGTTTAACACATCTTCTAATTCAAATAACTAAGCTATCTGTAATAGTGAGAAGGCAGGATTTACCACCAGGAAGGTTGGAAAGGGAAGAATATGATTTCAAAGCTCTTTCTGTTCTTTCTGCTTGCAGGAGGCCTTCAAGTTGGTCATGGAGATACAGATGCTGGAGATGGTAATTCTTTTTTTCAGCTCTTGCATCTAATTTTTATGTATTAGAGTCTGAGAAGAAGACGTTGAGTCTGTAGGTCATTTTTATTTCCATGACCGGTTGCAGAACAAAGCGTTAAATGCTTCTAACACCATTCTATCTTCCTGTAAAACTGGTGGAATTTTTTGCAGCTGCGGCTCTCCGATCTTTGATGAACAACTGGAAGAACTCACCACCGAGCTGGGGGAAGACTAATGATCCTTGTGACGCACCATGGGAAGGAGTTGCATGTGAAAATTCGAGGGTGACTGCGCTGTAAGTCTCTCTGTGTTAATTTCTGTTGTTTGAATGACTTACAAGACATTACTTGCTCGATTTTTGTTCTGATTTCAGGAAACTGTCAACTATGGGACTCCAAGGTAAATTAAGCAGCGACATATCCCAACTTTCTGAGCTTCAATTGCTGTAAGTTCTAGTCTTCCAGATACTAAGGATATAGATGTCAAGGTGAATCTTAAAGTTTAGGTACTGAATTCCATGGAATTATAAACAAAAGTATTATGTAGGGATCTGTCCTACAATAATGATCTTAATGGTTCACTACCTTCTAGCGTAGGAAATCTGAAGCAGATTACCACCCTGTGAGTAGAGCAACCTTGTTACTTTCTGAAATTCCCTGTAGAATGTCATAAATCAACTGAAGTTTTCATTTTTACTTGAAGGATCTTGGCAGGCTGCAGCTTTTCTGGAATCATTCCACAAGAGCTTCATAGCTTAGAAAAACTCTCATTCTTGTAAGAATTATTCCAATGATAATCTATACATTGAGCAATATCATTAATTAAAATCATAAAACATCTGTTACAGCATCATTTTATTTTATTTTTATTTTCTTTTTGCACATTATTATGAACCTTTTCATTCATTTGTCTTCCATTGAAGAGCTCTGAACTCAAATAAGTTCACTGGAAGTATACCTCCTTCTATTGGCCTTCTCTCCAATCTATATTGGCTGGACCTTGCAGACAATAAGCTTACAGGACCTATTCCTATCTCATCCAACGGATCCCCAGGCTTGGATCTTCTCATTAACACTAAGCATTTGTGAGTGTATTTATTCTAAATCCTCATCATTATATATACTTTTGCTGTCATACAAATCATATTTCGCTTCGCGTGGAATTTAACAGCCATTTTAACAAGAATCAGTTATCTGGCCCGATACCGAGTGGTCTCTTCAGTTCTCAAATGCAACTAATACATCTGTAAGTGTGGAAACAGAATATATGGTTTAGGCTTGTGTTAATTAACATGAACATTACTTGATTATCGGAAGGATATTTGCAGACTCTTAGATTCCAACAAATTTACAGGACAGATCCCAGAATCAATAGGACTCGTAACATCGCTAGAGGTTCTGTAAGTAAACTTAGCACCTATGTTGTACCGATACATCTATTTATAAAGAAGTGTTGTATCCGATACACTGATACACGGATTGTCTCCGATACGACACCGATACGTGTCATTGTCAGATACGGCTTTGTTGTATCCAATTAAAATACAATTTAATTTCAAAAGGTCACGTGTATCCGATACGCGTGTACATTGAAAAACAATTTTTTTTTTTGAAAAAAGACCCGTTGTATTTACTTCCGCGGCTGCGACCTAGGTTCTCTCATTTCCTAGGTGGATTTGAGTCTCTTGATGATATGAGAATATTATAAATTGCTAATGTTTCACTTGATGAACCTAAATTAGAAGCTATGATATTTATTGAAGATGATATAGAAGTTCAAAGACAAATCACTGAAGAAGCTAATCATATCATTCCTTCTATTGAATTGTTCAAACTTCATATGCTAGACAATTTATATTTATGCTTTTGTTATTGTATTAAACATGTAATGCTTACTTTTGTTTTGATAGCATACGGTACAAGGCTACAAATGATGTTACTTTCACTTTTTTTGTAATTTCAAAAATTATGTTTTGATTGCTTTCTTAATTTTTATAAATGATTTATAAATTATAATGTCGTGTCCGTGACGTACATGTATCCTATATTTTTAAGAATTGACGTGTCCCATATCCGTATCGTGTCGTATCCGTGTCGTTGTATCCGTATCGGTGCAACATAGCTTAGCACCATAACTACTCTCTCATTATTTACCATATATTAACAAGCACAAACATTTTGCTACAGACGACTTGACAGTAATTCTTTAAGTGGCCGAGTTCCTTCTACCATAAACAATCTTACAGTAGTCAACGAGCTGTAAGTTAAACAAAACAATAACAGAATCTAAAAAATCTAATAACAAACAGATTCACTTTAAAGCATCCAATTCATTCAGGAACTTGGCCAACAATCAACTAACCGGAGCACTGCCTGATCTGACTGGGATGAACCTCCTCAGCTATGTGTAAGATATAGTTGAGATTATACTGACAATTCGCAGAAAGGTAGTTTTACTCATTAGCAAATTTTGCAAAATGGTTTACAGGGATTTGAGCAACAACAGTTTTGATTCCTCAGAAGCTCCAGCCTGGTTCTCCACGCTTCAATCGTTGACTACTTTGTGAGTTCTCTGATAAGTTGCACGGAATTATGGCAGTTAATAATTTGATCTCCAGCTAATTTAATCCCCGCAAAGTTTTTTGATCTATAACAGGTTAAGCTAAATCTGATCATAGGATAGTTCAATTCAATTTTGTTTCTCGTTTACATTGATTCAAACAAAAAATCGATATAATCTCGATTGATTTTGATTTATAAGATAAATTCTTAGTCCAACGTGAGTACCTTCACCCTTAATTGTATTAATTCTTAGTCCAATGTGAGTACCTTCACACTTTACTATGGCTCAATTCATGTTCAACCCTGTCATGGCTTAGGTCATTTAGTCAGCTAGTTGATATTCAAGCCTCAATATGCTTCATGGAATTGCCAAGTACTTTTGTTTAGTAGCAGACCATCTCATTTGACATACATTTCTTCGGCTTGCAGGGTGATAGAATCTGGAGGACTTCATGGTAATTTTCCATCCAAAGTGTTCAGCTTTCCTCAGTTACAACAAGTGTAAGTGATCAACAACAACATCTCTGACAGCAAATTTCTGATATAGACGGGTAGAAGTATTTCTCTTGGTAACAAATAAGTCAATCTGATAATGACTTAGCAGGTTATTAAGTGAGAATGCATTCAATGGTACTCTTGATTTAGGTAATCCCAGCTCAGAGTTACAGATGGTGAATTTCCAAAACAATGCCATCTCTGGGTACAAATCTTCTGCAACTTTCAATGAAATTCTAATGTGAGTTCCTAGAACATTCCAGTTTGGTTGTTGATGTGGAGCATTTTAGCTTAAAACGTTCCTAGGATTATCTAATTTAGTTTGTTACAAGTTGTTACATGTTTTCCAGAATCTTCTAGGTTTCTCTAATTTTCTACTTGCTTATTATCTCTTTTTAAAGCTTTAAGCTTGGTGTTATCTTTGTTCCATGGATTGTGATTCTTTTCTTTCAAGCATATCCTTCTTCCAACGATCCAATCTACATCAGTTTGGTATCAGAGCCCGGAGCTTGCGAAGAATGATGGACTGCAGAAGGTGGACTGTCGACGACGATCGAAGCCAAAGAAGGTGGGCTGCAAAAGAAGATGCTCTGATACCAAACTAATGTAGATTAGATCGTTGGAAGAAGAGGATGCTTGAAGGAAGAGAATCCCAATCCAGAGAACAAAGATAACACCAAGCTTAAAGCTTCAAAAAGAGATAATATTCATAACGCTCAATTCCTTTTACACAATGTATATATATATATAATAAGCAAGTAGAAAACTAGAGAAACCTAGAAGATTCTAGAAAACATTTACCAACTTGTAACAAACTAAATTAGATAATCCTAGGAACGTTTTAAGCTAAAATGCTCCACATCATTAGTTCTTGAGAGTTAAAATAAATGTAATCATAGTTATATGATGGATCAATGCTTTTTCAGACTTGTTGGAAATCCGGTATGCACTACTCTGCAAGCAAATCCCATCTATTGCAGCCTGCAACAACAAATGAAAGTTCCTTATTCCACTAGCCTAGGCCATTGTAATTCTGCTTTATGTTCCCTTCAACAGAGTGTCAATCCTCAGAGTTGTTCATGCGCTTATCCATATCAGGGATTCTTAGTATTTCGGGCGCCATTTTTCCGAGATGTTACAAACATCACACGGTTTCAAGATCTTGAAAGTTCCCTTTCGAGTAAGCTAAGCCCTGCTATTGGGTCAGTGTATCTATCACAGTTGACCTTCAACGAGAATAATTATTTGGAAATGCAACTGAAACTCTTTCATCCAACTGCAATGTACTTCACACGGTCAGAAATTCAGAAACTTGGGTTTTCTCTGAGCAACCAAACTTATAAACCTCCAGCAGAATTTGGACCATACTATTTCAGTGCCTTTCCATATCCTTTTTCAGGTGAAGTATCCGTATACAAGAACCAACTTCAATCTTTTTTTTTTTTATTTTTTTATGATCAAATGACAGAATATATTTCAGACAGCAATGGCGGAAAAAATTCAATGAGCACGGGCGCTATAGCTGGAATTGCAGTTGGTTGTATCATTCTACTCATTCTACTAATAGTTCTTGCAATTTATGCCATCGGGCAGAAGAAGAAGGCAGAGAGAGCCGTTGAACAATCAAAACCTTTTGGTAAAGCTCTCATTGCAACAAGCTTTGAATTGATTACTCTCAAAAGAGAAACAAATTAAGAAATTTTAATGGCAAGGCTGTTTCATTTACACGTAAAATTAAATTGGAACAAAGGAACACGTGCTGAATTACTGATGAATTTATACAAAATAAATTTTTCATAAGCCAAATCCAAGGATCCGATCCCGGAGGCAAAGGAACTAAATTGACCTATTTTCATATTTATTTGGACTCATCATTTATAGTTGAAATGTTATAATTTACTTAAAATTTAAAACAATTTGGAATATAATAGATATGAATTATGATGATTGTTTATTCTAAGCTAAGTTTTAGTGTTTTTTTTTTTTGAATAAGACCTCATGCATGAACATCATTATTATTGAATAAGTTATTGAACTTAGGATGAATTCAGTAGCCATTGTTTTAACCTTTTTTTTTTTTAATAATTTTCTTTTGATGATTAGACATCACCAGCTTGAGGATCCATCATTTGATATTTTTTTCTTGAGTTTTGTTCTTATTTCTATTGTTTTTCACAATTGCGCTATGTGTGGTTGGGAACTAAGCTAGAACATCTAAGGTTTCGTTTGGGACGGCTTTCTTACTACTTCTTAAAGGCAGCTTTTTAGTAAAAAAAATTAATTTTTGTACTAGAAAACTGCCTTAAGAAGCAATAAGAAAGCCGTCCCAAAAGAAGCCTAAGTATCACCCTCTTCAATTCCATCTATACATCCCTAGAAGTAGACATTCATGCCTTCATATTTCAAAGAAGTTTCAAGCATTACTAAGTTTCACTCTTTTCTTCTTCCCTATCTTAAAGCGTCATGGATATCAACAACCAAAGATAATGGTGGTGCACCACAACTTAAAGGAACAAGATTGTTCTCATTTGAAGAACTCAAAAGGAGTACAAAAAATTTTTCAGAAGCCAATGAAATTGGATCAGGAGGTTATGGCAAGGTAACCCACCCATGTAACAGTCAAAGCATTAAGTGATGCAAATGATTTACGCACACTTGTCACATTCAAATGGTCATTCCTGTTCAGGTCTACAGAGGTATTCTATCAAGCGGGGAACTTGTAGCAGTTAAAAGAGCTAAGCAAGGATCCATGCAGGGTGCACTTGAATTCAAGACTGAAATCGAACTGCTTTCAAGGGTTCACCACAAAAACCTAGTAGGCCTTGTTGGCTTTTGCTTTGAGCAAGAAGAGCAAATGCTGGTGTATGAATACATTCCCAATGGAACACTAAGGGAGAACTTAACGGGTCAGTTAACTCAACGAGTCGCTTGTGTTTCCAAAATTTACAGTTTCTTGTAGCATTTATCTATATTGTTGCTAATATTACCACCTGCAGGGAGAAGAGGAATACAACTGGATTGGATCAGGAGACTAAAAATCGCTCTAGGCTCAGCTAGAGGATTGGCATATCTTCATGAACTTGCTAATCCTCCAATAATTCATAGAGATATTAAGTCTACCAATATCCTTTTGGATGAAACTTTGACAGCTAAGGTTGCAGATTTTGGTATCTCAAAGCTTGTTTCAGACAGCCAGAAGGGTCACATTTCCACCCAAGTCAAGGGAACCTTGGTAAATGCTCCATTTAATCATACTCCAAAGTTTCAAATTCTCTGTTACCTAGCCCTTCTGGCTTGAAAAGTTTGAGTTCTTCATAACTAAGATTTAGGCTATGTTTGGGTTGGCTTTCTTACTGCATTTTAAATAAGCTTTTTATAATAAAAATTAAAATTTTTGTACTTGAAAGCTGCTTTAAGAAGCAATAAGAAAGCCATCTCAAACAAAACCTAAGACTTCGCTTGAAACGGATGCGTTTTGGTACATAAATTAAAAATTTTGTACTAAAACTTTGTTTTAAAAAGCAATAAAAAAATCGTTCCAAACAAAGCCTTAGTCACTGTTAGAAAAGCTAAGAAAAAAATCTAACCATACTGTCGCATTTGTAGAGAGTTATTTTCATTGCTTGAACCTGAGTCCTAAAAATTACACTAGAGGTAACTTAATAATAACCACAAGCACCCCACTTAGGGATAAGAGGGTTAGGAAACCTAGAGCATATATTTGACTTGTGCTGAAAACCGTCAAGTATATGGATGACTAAAATAATTTTCCGTTTGGGAAATATTTGCAGGGTTATTTAGATCCAGAATACTACATGACTCAGCAGCTGACTGAGAAGAGTGATGTTTATAGCTTTGGAGTGGTGATGTTGGAACTGATTACTGCCAAACTACCAATAGAGAATGGCAAGTATATCGTTAGGGAAGTGAGATTGATTTTGGATGACATAGATGAAGAATATTATGGCCTAAAGAACATAATTGACCCAATGATTGCAAAGACTACAAATCTGATAGGATTCAAGAGGTTTGTAGAGCTTTCCATGAAGTGTGTTAATGAAACTGCGGCATATCGGCCAACAATGAATGAAGTGGTGAAAGTGATTGAGACAATGCTACAGAATGAGGGACTGAAAACAAGTTCCAGTTCTGCAACTTCATCTGTTACTGACTTTGGGAACACAATTGGTGCTTATCATCCTTACAACGATTCACCAAGGAGCAAGGACATGAACGGCGACGCTTTCCAGTATAGTGGTGGTTACTCATTTGCCCGAAGAGTTGAGCCAATATAGTGGGCTTATTCCTTTTCTTTTTAAACAAAAAGTCAGTCTTGGCTCTTAAATTGTATTTTGTAAGGCCAAAACTCTTCAATACCATTCCACACAGTTTGCTGCATGCCCATCAAGTTGCATGACCTTTTTTTCTTCACTTATCAGGTTTAATTACCAGTTTCATGGCTTCTCTTTTAACGCCAAACATGATTCGTATAAGATGAATAAGAAAGTGTATGTGAAGCTTTTTCCATTTTGATACAAATGGTGGAAAACAAGAAATCTCAGTTTTTTCTGCTTGCTTTTTGGAAAATTGATCCTGTAAATCATTAAAAAAAAATATTTGCTAGCCTAATTTGGTTATTCTTTCTCAGATGGACTTCTTTTCTTTGTTAGCAGGACATCAAGCCAGATTGAGGCTTTCATTAACAAGAAATCGTGGCAAAGACTTACCAATGCCATTACTAACCAGGCATCATTTTGGCAGGGTTATGTGGGCTCTAAGTATTTGGAAAGCTCAACATGCTTATTGCCTCATCAGCATGGTATTACTTCTTGAATTGAAGTTCGAAACTAATAAATGATTTAACATGGTCATGAACAACCCGTTAGCTAAGCATGATGCTTTTTGAAATCCTAGTTGTACTTCAACTTTCAAATTGCATTGAAACTATCCACATGTCAAGCTGACTTGAAATACCCAGTTGAATGCTTCGGAATCTCAAGGAATGTTTTCTTTTTCAAATAGCAACAATAATTTTGTTAGGCTACTATTTTCTCATTGGTTTTTAGAAAATTGTGTTAGAAAGTTATTTTTTGCAATCAGAGTAATGTAATACTTTGTTTGGGACAACTTTTGAGATTTTTTTTATTACTTTCAAAAAAAATTTATACTAAAAAACTGCTTATGAAAATAATAAAAAAATAGTCCCAAACGAAACCTAAGTTGCTTTCAACACAACAATTTAACAATTAATTTTATGCAACAGTACGGTTGTTCCAAACAGTCCCTCAATCGAGCACTTTTGAACCACTATTTCCACAATTATGATTTGAAACTCCTATTTTGACAAGCCAATTATGCTTGAGCCTTGAAATTCACAATTCCCCTCGGCCATTGTGGGCTCCAAAAATTCATGCCTCAGCCTCTCCACGAACCTTTTCTTTCTTTTTCGGGTCGTCAAGGAGAGTTTTAACGTTTAGGTTCCGAGGCAAATTTTCAGAAGATAGATTGAGTTTTGAAATAAGACGCCACCTAGAGATTTCTCCCTCATTTTGAGAGGACTTTATGATATGAGTTAGGTTTCCTATAGGCACAAGCCCCTATAGTTAATTACCCTCCCGGTAATAAAAGAGAACTTCGATTAAGGCTAGTCGTGAAATAGATACATATATTCAGCATATAGTAGTAGTATGTTTAGTATTTGAAAATTTAATATTTAGAATTAGAAATTTGTCACCTTGCATTTAAAGCAGATGGTGGGGGGGATATAGTGATGAATCCGATCATGATCTCATGGTTTTGTCATCACGAGTCATCATAGTCCCTAGTCTACTTTGTCAGAGGAGGTAGTCGACCCAACTTGACAGAAGGATTCTTGTCGGTAACCATGGGTTAATTCATCTAAGGATACCTTATAGAATTTGGGTGACTATGTGGACAAATTTGAATTCACCTTAACTAACGAGGGCTTTGCTCCCCATCGATTATATCCTATTGATTCATTACTAAATGATTTTGCACCATTGGAGAAAATATGAGCTCTGATCATCACTGTAATTTAATGGTGTCATTTGACATCAAAATCACCCGGTCATAGGGTGCCAGTCATAATCGTTTACTTGCATGTTGTAGTATCATTTGGTGGCTAAACCACTGATTAGAAGAAACATGCCACATTCTTACTGGAAAGAGACTGATTGATAATGAATCCTAGTAACATTCCTGATCAGACATTTACTCTTTGTGAGATAAACACTATAGGAAAATTGTCAATTACCGGCAGCTTTTTCTGCTGGTTAGCATTAATTTTTCGGGGGTTTTTGAAAACTACCGGTAATTTTTTGATGGTTTATTAACCGACAATATAAACTGCATAGGAAACAAATTGTAGAGGTGAATTTCTGGCGATTAATTTTACTGGCGGCTTTCTATCAGCATACACAACCGATAATTTTTGGCGGTCATATTGCCGGTGACCGCCAATTAATTACTGATGTCGTACCGGCCATCTCAAACACTGGTTTTACCGGAGTTCCAGCCATCAGTTGACTGACGGTTGACCACCGGTTTACCGCCAGTATTTACCGGCAGCTATATTAAAATTTGGTCGGTTATTTGATCGCCGGAATTACCATTGGTAAATGCTGATTTTCCTATAGTGAAAGTGATTTTCATATTTGCCAAACTATTGCGGAAGGTGGATAAATATTTTTGCTTTAAGTATTTTAGTGTTTTATTTCAATTTTAAATATTTGAGGCTTTGATGATTTTTTAGTTTTGAATTTTTATGGGAATTTGAGAGGCATTTTAAGATATTTGGGGTCTCATCCGGTTGAGACTTTTTATCAACACAACCATCATCAGGGTATTTATGGGTTATTTCATTTTATTTGTTAAACCTTATCGACTTTGTCAACTTGACGACAAATGATCGGGTTCATTGTCGGCTTTATACTTTCATTAATAATTTTTCTTTGTTATTGGCCTTAAAGGCCTAATATGAATGTATTAAATAAATATCTCATTCCATGTCACAATCATATGTTTATTTGATAGTTTAAGCCATGTCGATTCCTATCTATTGACATAGAAGGATGGACTCAAACTTAGGTTCATTTTTTGATCTGTGCAGCATATTTAGACATCACATGTGTGCATACATCACACTCATCGGGGACCATGTAGGTATATACTTTTATATGCATTTTGTGTGATGCATTTATTTAGTGGTTATATGTAAGTAGTGCAATGAGTGTACACGACATATTCATATGTATGATAAATTTTATATTTGGATACTATTTAGTTGCAGTGTGGGATATTTTGTATATTACGTGATGACTTACTATATTTGTGTATGATTTGTATATATAATGTGTTGATACATTATCTGCTTTCTTTCACATTGTATTAGCATGATAGTTCAGTGTTTGCATATAGTGTCTGATGTGTTTGCATGTTAGCTTTGCTTGCACAATGCATTGACATGATGATTTAGTGCTTGCATATAGTGTATGATGGGTTTGCATGTTAGAATATCATGCTACTTCTATGCAACATATTTTACATATTGGATATTGTGCTTGAATAATGCATTTCCTATTTTGAAATATGTATATGCAAGATGTAGTTGTAAGTTAATGCAATGTGTCTCCATAGAGTGGCGTTGCATATTAAATGATGTGCTTGCATAGTGTACCTTGCACATTGCAATGTATATATTTTGCATCTTTTAGAGCTTTACAAAATACACATGCATATTCTGAACGTATAAATGTGCACTATAATGCATGACGAGTGTTTTTGTACTATTTGAATATAACCAGTTATGCAGGTAGTGATTCTTTGGAATTGCATAATTTTTATTTATGAGGTTATAAACACCTTATGTATGCTTGTACGAATGTTATAGATTCGATTGAGTTATTTATCAGTGCATTGGGTTTCATTTATCCCACATTGACAATACAATTTAGTTCATTTAATCGTATGTATATTATCAGCTTCTTTAATATTCAACATGCAGGAGTATACTTCATCCAACAAGTGAGTTACACATCGTACTAGGAGTCTTCGATCTATTATTTCCAAACAAACTGATTTATCTAGTGTGATAATATGGCGCTGCAAATTTACTGCTTTGTTTTATCAATGACCTATAGCTTTTTTACTTCTCATTTCTTATTTTTGCTTATAGGTGAATCATAACATTGCACTGCATGTTATTTACTGCTTTATGTAGGTGAACTGTCATGCATTAGTGAATCTCCTACAGGTGTTTGTGAATAATTGCATTCCTCACAGGCTCTTGTGTTTGCTTGTAGATAGTATGTTGTGTTTGTGATGAATTTTCTATGGCAGCTTATAAGTGTTTGTATTTTACATGTCATCCATTTTTACTTGCAAGGAATTACTACATTTGCTTGACACTGAATCATCATTAGTTGTAGGAAAAGCATTCACTGCATGTTGTTGGTTATCACTTGTAGGTATATTATTTTGCATACAAAAAATCATCTATCATTACCAGCATATATTCACATTAATCATATGCTATATCGTGTATGCTTGCAAGGAGCTTCATTATTTACAAATGAGTTGGTGTATTCATTTGAATACGGGTGCTGACTACCAGGTGAGTTGCATTCATTATATATTGCAATGGTGGATTTTCTTGTATAACATGCTATTTGCTTGCATTCCAACTGCATGTCAACATTTACTATCGAATGGGTTGCATTTCTCACTACTTTCTTCGTGCATGTAGGTTGATAAGTTGCCATTCAATGCAAATCCATCCCTCATGCTTATAGGGAATTATTAATGTGAATGTTGCATATTGATTATTCGATCTTTGCTTGCAAGTAGTGTTTCGTGTCCTTGATTGTAAATAGGTTGTCATATTCCCTACAATCTTTGTCAGTCATTGCTTGTGCATGAGTCATGTCGAATATTACAACCCCTTTATTGATCTTAATGGTAACTTGTGACTTATATAATGGATTTTCTCGCTGTTGCTTGCATTTCAATTAACATGATAATCTTTTGATATTGATTGAAAATCTTATGTTATTGATTGCAAGCATGTCTCACATATGCATTTCAGTATTCACACTAAACAAGTAAGAAGTCATAGTTATTATGGTGTTTTTCAGTGTTAATAAATCATTGGCTCAATAAATAGAGTCGTCATTCTTTACCCATCAGCATATTAATAATCTCCTTATAACTCTTGCTACAAGAAACTTGTTATTTATCTGTGGTTTAAGTGACTGTTTTTAATAATACATCACTGGAAATTCTGGCGGTAAAATAACCGTCAGAACCAACTGATATGATTTAATATAATATATAATTATAAAATGAATTAAAACTTAAATATAAAATTAACTTAATTTAATTTATTTATCATAACTATAAAATATTAAATATTATTAAAATAGTAATAAATATTAAATATTATAAAGTTTATTAGATATTAATTTAATTTTTATTATTTAAAAAATGCAAACTAAATAAGTGATTTATTA